CACTGGTGTCAAGCAGGGCCAAGCAGGGTTGGTCCTCGCTTTGGCAGTAGAAGTATAGACCCCGGCTACGGCCGGTTCGCCCCACGGTGGCGTGCGGGGTGCCGGTCTTCACGACGTTCTCCAGAGTCCCAATCAAGGGTTTAGGTGAGGTTGAGGTGTGCAAGGGCAGCCGTCGCTGTGCTGAGCCACCCAGCTCCCGTTTCCCGATGCCGACCTCGGAGTGCAAGGCTCTAGGGCCTGTCCTGAGGAACAGTCCTGAGCTCAGTGTCCCCTCTTCCCACCGTGTCGGCAAAACAGCTTGCAGGGCTGTTCTGCGGGGGTTGCTGCGTGGGCTGGCTCCTCTTCCCCCTTCTCTGTCGCCGCCTCAGTCAGCCGGCAGGGTGCACTCCGTCTGCTGGCGCTTCCAGCCTCCCTGAACATGGCCTCGGCCCGCCTCCTCCGGGACATTCAGGAGCACCTGGCAGGCCGCTCCTTCCAGCGCCGCAAGGTGGCCGGCCATCTCTGCCCGGCTCCAGTCACTCCCCCGGGTTGCGAGCTGGAACCACGCCTCGTACATCTCCAACGACGCTTCCCCATCATAGAGACCAGGTTCCCACTCAGCAGGTGCGGGAACAGCTGGCCGGCCCCTGTGGGAAAGGCATCCCCTCTCTGTGGCATCTGCTGGACAGGAGTGGCGGGGAGTCAATCCAGTTTCACAGACGGGACCTTTACTAGGTAGCCCTTGTAAGAGCTGTGCCCATCTGTTACACACAGGAGTTGCTCAGGCTCCAGGTGTTTACTTCCCCTGGGGTCGGTCTCCTTCAGGATCAGCAGGCACTTGACAGAGTCCACTAGCGTCTGCCACAGGTTGTCCATTCTCTCCGCTCCTGACACCAATGTAGAACTTATGGGTCTCTGCAGGACAAAGAACAAGTGGAGATGAAGTAGGGAATCAAGCACCAGCTTTTATCCTTCTTTACAACAACCACAGGATTTACACACGCATTAGGGGACCGACAGAACACGTACACAGGTTTAGGGTGGTTACTTGTTAACAGACTCTACACCTTTACTAAGCTTCACAGAACACTTACACTAGCATACAGTAGGTCTACTTACATGAGCAGGGTCAGCAGCTGGACATCGTACGGACCCTCGGACTCCCCCCAGCTACAACTCCGAGCCAGCTTTGCGGTACCCTCAGCGCCTAGGTACACTTCCTCCTCACCACTGGGTGAGGAAACTACAATATAATTTGCGTCAGGAACTTGCCAAACATTTATAAAACATATAAATTAATTCATATTCATGTATGAAAAGCCATGAACGTGGGCCAACTTCGTGAAGCACTGTATCGGAAAAATTCTGATGTCATTTATATTGGAGATTCTTGAACCCAGAGTTTACATTTAGATTTCTCCTTTTGTCACAGTCTCCTCCTTGAAGAGTTTAGAGGCGTAGAAGGAATGCAGCAATAACGATGGCACAGCCACAATTGCAAGGACGTGCAACGGTGTTTATTAAGGGGAACTGTGTTCCCAAAGTCCACACCCAAAAAAACAAAGTGAAAAATTCAAACCAGGAAAAAAAAACAAAAAGCTATAGTACAATAATATATATTCATTAATTGATGTAAAAAAATAGATTGTTGTAGGCAGCTCCTCTTCTACCCCACAACCAACTTTCTCCTATCTCCCCCCTCTTATCTTTAAGAGCTCCTTTTCTAGGTTAAACTCCTCCCCCTAGAATATTCAACTATAAAGCAAACTTATATAAAGCAAAAATAATTTTACAAAATAATAATCAGAATTCTGATATACACATTTATCCATTAAGTGCACAACTAATCAATGAACATATTATTACCAAAAATAAAATATCATACTCCATTAATGTACATAAATATTGTTTAAGAAAATACTACCCCCTCTTAATGGTATCTTCTTAAAAAATCAATCCACGCATGCTCAACCCTTAAACAGGCACTACTAAAACAGTTTGGGTTCTACAGGTTGCGGGAGAAACCATTTTTCCGGTGAGAAAGCCAAGCAATTTATTTGAAACACTTGAGTTGATCACCAATTTGGTTAAATTAATTTCTAAAACAAAGGAAAACAGGTGTTTGGTTTGAGTTAATGTTTAATTTTGATAATACGGGAACAACCTTACTTTATTCTGTGTGTGTACTCAAAGAGCAAGCATAGCTATCCCCGGAATTCCAGACTAGTTTGTTTATGTTAAAAACAAGTTATAGCCTTTGTTTAGATAGTGAAATGTTTGCGTATGTGTGTGTCTGTGTACATGTGGATACCTCACTAGTGCCAGGTAATCTGGAAACGGAGTCTCTAGTCACAGCCTTACTGCTCAAGGACCGTGATCAAGAAGGGCAGGAGCTCCACATGTTGTAATTTGGCTATAGAATACTATAATTTACTGGATGGATATACTGTTTTCCAGGACAAGAGATTTACCCTAGAGTGCATCAAATGTTAATCAAAGATTCATCTAAAATATCATCTTTTGGCACTAGTGAATCTATATAAAAAAAATTCTCGGCTACATATCTTTTTTAGGGGTGTTCATCCATTCTGTGAGCCTACCCATTTTTACATAATTTCAGAGAAGTTAAGTCTGTTTTGGGAAAAAAATAAAACATTCACAAAAAAGAAAGAAAAAAATGCCTAGTACATTTGTAGTTTTGGTGCTTAGACCATAATCTAGTTGCATGTAAAACGTGCTTCAGTTCATAGCCCATACTAAAACATCCCAAAAGTTATTTTATACAGTGGGTATAGAAAGTCACCACCCCCTTTCAAAATGTTCAACTTTTGTTGCCCTATAGCCCAAAAAGAAAACAAATAAAATTAGACATTTTCCAGTTTTATTTACAGATTGTACCTTGCAACGCCCAAGTGAAAAAAGAAACCAAAACTTCTGAAAAAAAAATTAAAGTAGAATAACTGGGTTGGATAAGAGAACACCGAGTTAATACTCGGTGGTTTCAGACTCAAGGCTTGAATTACAGCCTTGAGTCTGGTTGGACACATCTCTGCCAACTTTGCACACCTAGAGGGAGGAATATTTTCCCATTCCTCCTTACAGAACTGTTCAAGCTCAGTTATACTGAGTGGTACTGAGTGGTGACCATTGATGGACTTCAAGTCATACCAAAGATTTTCGATGGGATTTAGTTCAGGGCTCTGACTAGGACATTCACTTTCCTGTTCTTCAGCCACTGTACGGTTGCTTTGGTGGTGTGCTTTGGGTCGTTGTTATGTTGAAAGGTGAACCATCTTCCCCTTTTCAACTTTCTGGCTGAGGGCTGCAGGTTTTCTTCAAGAATGTACCTGTATTTTGCACCATCCATCTTCCCTTCTATCCTGACAAGGGCCCCAGTCCCAGCTGACAAGAAACACCCCCACAACAGGATGCTGCCACACTGTAGGAATGGTGTTCTTTGGATGGTAAGATGTATTGGGTTTTCGCTAGACGTACCATTTTGCATTCCGGCCAAAAAGTTCAATTTAAGTCTCATTTGACCACAGCACCTTTTGCCACTTGGCCACAGAATCTTTAAGGTGCTTTTTGGCAAAACAAAAACAGGACTTGATGTGGCTTTTTTCTTTGCAGCCTTGCAGGCCAGATACAGTATTTGGAGCACTTGTGATATTGTTGTCACATGCACACCATGACCAGTTTTTGCCATAAAGACCTGTAGCTCGTTTAAAGTTGCCATCGGCCTCTCTGATCAGTCTCCTTCTTGCTCGGTCATCCAGTTTGGAGGGAAGGCCTGATCTAGGCAAGGTGGTGCCACTTGCTTTTCACTTCTTAATGATGGTATTGACTGTGCTCCATGAGATTTAAAGCCTTTGAAATACCCATCATCTGACTTGGGCCTTTCCACAACTTTATCTCAAAGTTCTTTTGAAAGGACCGTCCATAGTGGATTCTTTGCATTGAAATACAGTGGAATCCTTTACAAAACCTTCTTTTCTTCTGAAGTAATCAAAATCACCACAATTGATCACTGGTTGGAGCTAATTAGTTTGTTGTGTGATGTGTAAGGTGATTGGATATACCTGAGCTTGTTTACAAATACAATTGTAAGGGGGATGTTCACTTATCTAGGTATTTTACTGATGTAGTATTCATTAATTTACTGAATGTTTTAGAATTTTATTTTCACTTGGCTAATGTGTGTTATTGTGTTTAAATAAAAATGGAACAAGCCTATTTAATTTGTTTTTATTTTCAGAGTGTCATACAACAAAAGGTACAAATTCTGAAAGGAGGTGGTGACTTTCTATACCCAATGTATATGCAGGTATAATACCATAAGGTATGGATAAATGGTTTATTTAGGAATCAAGGGAAAAAAATCCTCAACTCCAGAAATGTGCAGTCTTCATTTAACAGACGTTGGAGCACAGGAAGCTAATTAGATTCACAGTCTACAGTTGCAGGTTTTCTGCCTTGTTAAAAGGCTTAAAAGCTTAAAAAAACAACCAGTTGAATAGATACATTTTCAGGTCTGGTTTTCCTCTGCCTTTAGTTCCTTAACCAAACTCATAAGTTGAGCTGTTTATAGTTTTTCTTTCGTTATAACTCTAATAAAGAGTTAAACATAAGTAGAATGTAGGACTGTGGATCTGCATGTCTGGACCACTGATAGAGTAAGACAGGTAAGCATTGTACCCATTAGTGGACTACATTTGCAATCCACCTTTTACAAGGAACCTTGCTTTGTCACTGCTGCCTCACTAAAATAATTTGAATAAATAATGACCATACCAATAAAATCTTGATGTTTTAAATGCTTTGGCTGTATTTCACATTTATTCCTTTTTGAAACTATTGATTCTTCCCTTTAGTACCTTAAAAATAGTTATTATAATTATTATTTCTGCAGATCACAGATTGAGAGAATAAACATTAAAGACTCATACTCACGATTAAGATTTATATGTTCATAAACTGCTTTCATTTGTATTTTTCAGATGTGACAAGAAGAATTAATGTAATTGTAAGAAGTTTTATTTTTTTATTCTGGGGAGGGAAAAAAACAGAAAACACACCTCCAACATGTCCTATTACAGTATAACTAGATACATTTTCATATTTACTGTGGTAAAGTATGTACTGTACTTAGAAGCCCAGTTATTATTGTCCTAATACTGTAGCACCTTTAATTTCTGAGGTATTGTCTCCCCAGTGTTAAAATAAAAAAGGAGTTATACTACTGATAAAACTAATTAACACTAATTATGACAACTTACATTAATTTTCTTAAATAATACAATAAATAAACTACATGGTAACATGAAGATACTGTATGAGGCTAGAAGAGACTAGGTTAACAGTATAGCCACCCTCTCCCTTTCATTCACAATTGTAGACACTGAAGATGTTCAACTTGTTATTTTTTGAAACAAAGGATTAAAAAATACTAGCAGCATATAATAGAGATCCAGATATTTTAAATTATAACAACAGGGGAAAATAATTTTAATTCATGCATACAGATTGGTTTTAATGCTTCAAAAGACATACAAGAGCCACACCTCAAAAGAGTGGAAGGGCACAGTAAACTTGAATTTATTGACATAAAACCAATATATCTTCTATCCTTTATTACACAGGTTTAACAAGTTCTTAAAAAAAACATAACAAATATTTGCATGACAGTTTTGACAGTGGATCTGTAGGTTCAAATTTACAACAAAGTGTTATCGACAGCAACGTTTTAGATTGGGCTATTGGTACTATCCATATTCCTTAGGTTGTTAACAGATTTTTTTTTCAAGTCATAGCTCAAAAGAAACAAAAATATTAAACAATTATTAAAATATTCTAGGCCATTAAAAACTTAATTAACGCTGAGTGGTCTGTTGCAGGATTATAATAGGTTGTTTCTGGATGGACCAAATGTACATAAAGGGTACCATAAGAAAATTAGTGTAAAAAAAAGAATCACATGACCAAAACAGTTAAAGCTGAGTTTTGTTTGGCTTATCCTCCAACTCAAAGATGTGCAATCAGTTGGGATTCCTAGTCTTTTCAACTGATATACATAAAAAACAAAATCCAGAATCTAAATCATCAGCAAGAAATAAGAACACTTATATCCCATAAATAAGGTAGTGGGCAGCACGCCTTCTAGTATTCAAGTTTTTCAAGTGCCAAAGAAATTAAGCTATTGAAAAGCTTTACTAGATATTTGGGGTTTGCACAACATACTGTAAACTGCAGTCTTAAACTTAATACCAAGCATTTTAAAATGCTTTATATTTTACTGTCACAACTTGTGAAAGTTGGTATCCAAGCAGCCTTAAGAAATGTGGTTTAAATCATGTGCACCATATGTGATTCCTCTGTTTATTACTGTATCAGAATGTAACTCTAACCAAAACCCTTAATCAATGTCTTATCTGCCTGCTTCAATTATAGCAATGGGCCTTTATTAAAAAAAGAAGTATTTGTTTCAAGTAATGCATATATAATCTTTTAATCTGGAAAAATCAATTGCTCTTGTGAAAGGATATTAATTCAATGACTCAATTTTTTTCACATTGTATGTGAAAGTTTACTACCATCTAATATATCTGTCTAAAATGCTTTCAAAACGTAGTAATCCAAAGTGAATGCAATATGCAGTAACTCAAATTAGCAAAGACAAGTTTTTCTGGAAATAATTTTGAAACAGCCCACCTTTATATTTTCTGCCATTCTTAGAGATGTAGATTGCCACAAAAATGCTTTGTTTATATTTTTGTTTTGAAAGTTTGAGGAATGAAAAAAAACTGAAATGAAAAGCCACTTAGAATACTCAACTAAGGCTCAAAATGGAAATATAAACCATTGCACAATTTTTGCTCACAGAGAACAAATTACAAAACACAAAGTTGTGGAACCATAATACACAAGTATTTTAGCTTTTTTTGGATTTTTTTTTAAATTCTGTTGCTAAACTAATACATAAATTAGCACCACATTCAGCAATTGATTACAATCTGCAAATACTACAATAACATTGCAGTTATTTCTCATTTAATTACTCTTGCCTGTTTTCCTACATGGGCCTAACAAGCTAAAAAAAAGATACATTTAAGAATTACTGTCTTTGAATGAATATGAAACAATGGCATGCATAACAGTAAGAAACTGTGATAAAGTTCTTATTTGTGTGAAAGTAGCAGGAACTAAGGATCTTGGGAGATTTGGTCATGGCAGGGCATCAACAGTGTTTTACTTACATTTAAAAAGTGAAAATACATACTGTAGCACCACAGAAGGAAGTAAAAAATAGCACCTATGTTTCTTTTTATAATAGTGTGATATCCCTCCCACATATAATCTCCCATTACATATACTTTGTAGAACAATATGGAAGTATAAAAAAAGAAAGTGTTTACCAAATTAAATTAAAATCTCTAACTGTAACCAAGCAAGTTTACAACAGGCATCTCAGAAAAAAGGATGACAGAAAATGAAAATAATTGTTGTGGTAAACAATTTTGTAAAGTAACGCTCAAATGATAGAGCTGTGTGCTTTTTTTACTTTTATTATTATTTAATTACAAAAAGAAGATGTACTTTACACCTCTAGCAAAAGATAGTAACTGGTCTCATGTGCTGTTTTTTTTCCTGTCCTTTCTCAAATTCAATTTTCATCCTTAAAAAAGGAGGTCACATGCATGTTTTGAAGCCAGAGTCATTACACATTAAAAGGAAAAAATATACAAAATTTACTTACAAACATACAAACAAATATATATTTCTATATAAAAGCATCATTTGGGAGAATGGCTGGATATTTAAAACAAAAGTGAATGTTGAAAACCTAAAAAAGAACTGCCATTTAAGGAGGAGGCCAATTCCGGGACATACCATCCCAGCGCTTAATGTTCACAATGGCATGCATCAGGGCTGTTTGGGCCATGTGATTCTTGATCTACACCAAATAATCTGTTCTGTTACTGGAAAGGAAAGCATGGGGATGCGCAAAGCTGTAGCAAAACACAGTAGACAGTCAGATCTGTCCAGTTTCAAAACCTGCATGTGACAGAAAAGGCACGCTGAGGTTACAAGGTTGCTCTTTTGATTGAATATTTCCTTGTCTTAAATCTTTATTTTTGGAGACACAACGGTTAACACATGTGACATTTTCTCTTTTTTTGTTTTACTGTTTTGTATGTTTCTTTATGAATTAGCACAGTCTCAACCGATAAAGCAGACCGGCCCCACTTCGAAACCAAACTTCTGAGAGGCTTCACCAAAATCGTTGAACATGATGTCAACAAAAGGCACCTGCTCCACTTTGGGTGTGTTGATCTCTAGAACAGTCTTTTCATAGCCTTTCTTTGTCTGGAAAAAAAGAAAGAAAGGCTTCTTAGAAGAAAAGGGAAATTTTCTCATACTTCACAGTAGTCACGTCTCCTCCCAACAAAATAAAGTATCTAAATGGGCAATGAAAGTCAAAAGTCCATTTTATTAAATAGTATTTAGAAGTTCTATAGCTTTATAATGTCTTCATCATCTGAATTTCTTGAAGTACTGAAGGCCTTAGAGGAATTCATGAAAACCATTCTTGTAACCAATTTCTAACTGATGCAAAGCAAACTGAAAGCCACAGGTCTTACCGCACAACCATCAATAAGCGTTCTGACGTAAGGGTTGTTGTCATAGGACATTTCTTCATCATTTGATCCCAGGAACCGCACAGCTTTATCATAGCTGTCTAGGGTCTGGTCATGCCAGGCTACGGAATTGTAGCAGTTGTAGGTGAGGTTCTGACGCGCTGAAGCACTCAGGAGCCTGAGGAATGTCATTTGGACCACACCAATGGGATTTCCTTCGGAATCCACATAGGAGAGCTGCTCAAAAAAAATTTAGAAAAAAGGTCTAGGCAGTGGCATATCGAACTACTAGAGACCTGGCAAAGAGTTAGAGCAAATTAAAAGGAAAACAAGGATTAAACTCAGGATGTATTTAAAGATCTAAATATCACATACAATAGTAATTTCGTGAATCTAATATATCAAACTAATATGGTCAAACTCTCTTTTTTAACACTTGAATGTTTTTTAACTCTGTGTTAAGTAATAAAGTAGTTGTCCTTGGATATCATATAATGCATACTTTAGCTTATTACTCACCATTGTGATTGCTGTATTAAGTTAAATTATCCAAAGTTCATTGCATTATTTATTCTGAAACTTAAACTTTTGTGCATGTGTGGGATTTACATTTGCAATTTATTAATGCTTCACTTATTTATGGCATTGCATGTTGGCAGGTGTACAAAGGCATTACTGAAGCACTGCATATGTAAAAAAGGTTTGACGGACTTATTACCAGTGGCTTATAATTTATCAGCCAGTCAATATTAAGCAAAACTAAATAATACATATTTGACTATACTTATTGACACCTCTGTGCTGTTAAGCTGGTACCTTGTTACTTTCATGAACATTAACAACAGTAGCTATTAGATAACACAATATAATACAATATAACAATATAAGATAAGTGCCAACTGGCGAACCTTAATTAAAAAAAAAAACTTAATGAGCAAATGTTTAGTGGTGGTGACAACTGCAGAGGTTACATCTTTTGACGTAATTTGCACTTCAGTAGTGTTGTTTTTTTTTCCACATTGCTACATTGTGAATGAGGCATCCAAAATGTTGCGTATTTAGTAAGAGCTCTTTTTGACCAAAAAAAAGTGCTTTATATAACAGTACTGTACATAAAAATCTGCTACTAATATACATACTTTACTATACTACTAATATACATCAACATTTTTAGTTTTTACTACAATTAGCAATCAGAAAAAAATCAGTAACAAATTTCCATTTTTAAACACTTCACAGATTTGCTTAATACTCATTTCAGTTTTAAAACATTAGCCTTTATTAGGTTTAATACTTAACAGGTTCAAGAAAACAGGATTTTGTGAATCCACACTACCTTCTTATTCATAAGCTTTACATGCTGATCAGTAGGAAATAGGTGTAAAAGAATTTCAAAGACAAATGTCATCCCACTGTGATAACCCACTGGCAGACCCTAAGTCACTGCCAGATGATTTTCACATTTTTTAATGGTCTTTCTTTTTTCAGAACCCCTCCAAGATTCTAGTGGTTTCAACATGTTCCTCTAGGAAAAACTGCACGGTGTTCCCTTTCAGTTATTCTTCACTTTGTTCTACTCATACAAGTAACTATTCTTCCTCACTCACTCTTGACTATCGTATTCACAAAGCCCTGCACATCATCATCACATTTACTAGGGCTTCTCATGAACTATTTCATTAGTCACAAGGTACTACAGTATTCAATCTGTTATTCAAATATTCCAGTCAACTATTTGCAACATATATAATTGATTCCTTCAGCACAACCAGGCATTAGGGTATTTAAATTATTCACTCCATGTCACATTACTCACTAAAAACTCTCATGCCCTTCTTTCACGTATTAGCTCTTAGTTTATAAAGTGCCAGAACTTCACCATCACTCTACTCATTACTCACTACTCCAGCTGATCATAGATATCTGATAACCCTGTTTGGCCAGGGTCAAAAGTATTGGTTATGCCTCTCTATAATCAATACTTGGATGCCTGACAAAGCCAGTTTGTTTTCTCTCTCACATCCAGCCTTTGATATCTAGACTCCTTTCAATCTCAGGTATGGGGAAAAGATACTTCTTCTAGGTACTTGTACCAACACCTCCAGTCAGCCCTGGGTTAGATGGCCACAACTGTTTCTAATCAATGCATTTTAAGCCCATTAAACCTGGCAAACCACTGTACCACACAGCACACCTGTCCTGTACCTGTGAAACCTCAGTACAGCCTGAGCTGTATTTTCACAAGCACCCCTTGCTCACTAATCTAATACACTTCTTAAGGGACCTCCCCTTACAGGACTTCCACACTTCCTTTTTTTCCAAGCTAAAGTCTAAACACTGACACCTTTCCTCCTAGCTGTTTTAATTAGAATTCTTAGGCACACGTCAGTTTCAAATTGAGAATCATGATAACGAGACTTTTTTAATTAAACATATCTGCACAGTGTATTTAAGATTTAATTAAAGCAAATTACATGATGAAATTATGAAAAAGGCAATTCTCTGGTCTCACTCCCTTATGTCAATATGAATAGGGGGTTTACAGTTTTTACAACAGTGAATTTCATTGCCACAGACAAGACAACCTTTATAAACCAAACAGTAAAGCATAAATGATTCATTTCAGAATTAAAAACCTGCAATTTGCTATTGCTGACTTTTAAATACTCCATGAGGTGTACAGCAGACCCATGTCTCTGAAGATTCATAACTTCTGATTTTTGTAACAGAGAGTTCCACATTGTATGGGTACATATTCATTTTGTATACTAACCATTTCTGCTCCTTTTGATCCATAAGGTTTCTCCTTTGAGATAAACATGACTGACCAAGAAAGAAGCACATGCATAGCAATGGCTTAAGAACACAGGACCAAAGACAGCCACCCAAACTGGACATCAGGTTTATATTAATGCTCTGTGTAACTATGCTGTACAAACTAGGTGTTACAGATACACTGTATTTATGATCAAGTTCTCATTTAAATAGCAGAACAAGATCCAGATTTTGAAAAAGCAGTTGTTTATGACAATGTGAAAGATGGAGGTAATTGTAGTACCCAAGGAACACCTACAAATAATTAAAAATAATTTAATTAAAAAAAGGTAAAAGAATTGTCTCCAGGCATAGCTGGATACACGATTACAAAGCAAATATTCAAGGAACTTCATAAAAACATATACCAATGAAGTATATTAGTAGTAAAATTACTACTTGAAAAGATGTGGATTTCTTGAAATACAAGAAGGCATATTTTCTGAATTGAACACACTCTAATGGTCTAGTTGAAGTAAACCCAATATTTGTACAAAACCATACCAGAAAATCTAGTGGCAATTTATCCAACCATCTTTCCTCCACTTTGAGTAGCTGCCTTGTGGTTGAGTGAACACCACTTAAAGGACATAAGCAAAGCACTATATGGCTTGAATGCTTGCTTCCCACCATTGCCCCAGTGTTTGAAATAGCGAGCCATCACCATGGATATATTACCTCTCAGTCTCAGGCACTGCTGCATTCCAAGTGTGGCTGGAGACCCTGGGCAACCAGTTTAAAGTGTCTGTATGTCTTTCAAATGGCCAGTATTAGCCAGCTTGGCACACAATTATGTTACAAGTTATATCTGATCATTTTCACATCAAGAGAAACAGTTTCAAGAAAACAGTAATTGAGAATTTCTAGAAAACAGCACTTTCTTTCCTGAGATCAGTATTCTAATACTGTTGATTATGTGTTGTCACAATAGTAATTCTACTCAGAATGAGTACAACCACAGACTCAAATATCTGATTTGCGTGCTTGCCTTAAAAAGCTGGAGTTCTCTAAATACAAATCTTAGTTTGTCATGTACATAACTTTGTGTTTAATTATACTTTCATACACTACAATGAAGTTGATATGAAATATGCACATTCAATATGAAATATGAATTTGTCAATATTATGAATACTAAATTGCTCAAGTATTTAGTGTCTTAAGAATCAACAGTAGTACTTTAAAATAATGCCCATAGTTTCATATGAAACCTAAATAAGTATCACCGACTGAATGTTTCTAACATTTCTTAATTCTGAAGATATTCAATTGATGTTGATGAGATGATCACTTGCACACCTTTATTCATACGAAAACCGATGGAACAGTTTATTTTAAAGTAATACCAGGGTATCAGAATTTAGATAAAAGGCTTATTTGTTGGCCTCTGATCTTTGGAATTTGGTAACACTGCTCTTTGAATCATTCTACAGTAAATCATACAAGAACAGTTGCAAAAGTTCTTACTATATTCTAAGAATTGAAATAAAATATTGCAGAGTTCTTTAAGTAGCCAGAAATATTATCTGTGGCTTAGCTGACATTTTCAGATAATAAATATCAAATTAACTAAATGCATGTTCAAATGAGGATGAACATATAATTATTTATATGGCTAAATCATATTCAGGCATACAGACACTTTTAGGTGAAATCTTTATTAATGATTAGAATTGTAGTTGGGCAACCTATTCCATGGGATAAATTCATTTAAAATTAACTTACTGTAACTGGTAAAACAATTTAATATGAGGTACTCTACACTGCAATATATTTGCAATTTTTAATGTAAGGGAAAAGGTATTCATGATGCCCACTGTCAATCAAAACACAAACCTGGAGCCTGCCAGAACACATATGTTTAAGATTTTGAATGTTGCAAGAATCTGCTATACCAAGAAATCAGTTTTCACTGAATACTGAGGGTGTGTTACACTATTTGGGTAGGACTTATTTATGTATATAGAACAAGACAATGCAATCTTCCGATGCAAAAAATAGTCAATCATTGGAAAAAAGTGCTATCTTACACAAGATGCACTTGTTTTTGCATTGGAAAAGGTAGCTTTTGTTGCTTTCTATCTGATAGGAAAGTTTATTTTTACTTCATATGGAAGGTTAAGATAATTGACTTGCCCATTCCTTTATTCATTTAATAAAGATACACCTGAGCCAGTAGACTCAAATTGATCTGGTAACCAGTGACACATGCGGTTTACTGAGTAAAGCAGTTGCCAGTGACATGCATGAGTCGAGGCCCAAGACCTTGATGTGCAACTTACCAGTGACCCCCGCTTGTATTGACTATACCAAGTACCAGGCGTGTCTTTGGGCCAACGGGCCATTTTACTCTGTAAAATATGAAACTTGTTAAGGGAAGAGAATCGAACAGGAAGGATGGCTTACCAGTTTACCACGTTTGAATTCACTGAACCAGGATCCTGGAATCTCCTTTGCCCAGGATGTGAGTCTAGTCTGGTGTACGAGGTGGGACAGAGAGGGAGAGAAGGCATGTTAAAGGCATGTTATGTCATGCTGTACCCCTCTTAGTTTGAAAGAATGCTGTATGAGTCAGAAAAACAAGAAGAGGTTAATGAAACACACTGTGGAACAATGGACATTACAGTATATATCAGTTATTATGATGTAAAACAGTTCTCATGTGGTAAAGATATAATTACCTGGAAAACCTAAAGCAGGAGACAAAATAATCAGAAAATGACGTTAACCAAACAAAAAAAATATCTATGTATATATGTAAGGAGTTGAAATGGAATTTTTGTCATGAACTATCTGCTGTCTTACAGGATCTTTATTTAGATACTAGTGGTATCTTTGGTGAATTTGTACAACACAAGCATGGAAAAAGAACAGGGTAATGGCTATTCTGATCTTGGTGGCTTCAGAAACTAATCATCTTGTTTGTAATGCTTATGGAACGAGTAACTATTCTTTTTCATTTGTGGTTAAGTGCATTTTTAAATTGTTGTGTGTTTTACTTCAAATAATTTATTGGCCCAGAACCATAAAGTTTCGTGATGGCTTAAATATTGTCGGTCTGACCTTTTTTACATGTTCTGCATGTTACACAAGGATATTGAATACCAAAATAAATATGGAAAAAATATATTCACTTCTGTCTTTTTCATTTAATGTTTAGAGAGGAGTGAATACTGTAAAATATCCATCCATTACTTCAAAGCATGTGGAATTGAATGTATATATGCACAAAATCAAACCCTTGAATTTTGTAACAAACACATTAAGGTCTACATTGTGTTTCTTTACAGTTAAAAAAATAATTGCAAAGTTAATTTTGTACATAACCCAGAAACATTAAAAAAACAAATTCAAATTGGATTTCTCCTTGCTTTCCAAGCTAAGAGTAATAGAGTTATAACCAAATCATTAAGGTTCAAAACTGTAAAAACACATTGAGTATGTTTTCTAATGTACTAAAATATGCTGGTATATCCTAAGATGAATTTGCTGCCGAGCTCCATTAATTATAACATGAACAAAATATTTATTAAATGTAATTTACCCGAAAAACTTTAAAAAATAAAGTAGTCATACTGATGCAGCCATTCAAAACAAGCGGTGTATCCTGCGGTATAACACGGTGAGCGTGTCGCAGTATACCGCATCATACCGTAAGCAAATTAGATTATGTTAATAGTATCCGGAATCACCTTGTAAAACCGGCAGGTGGAGCTAATAAAGCTTAACCTCTCCTGTACAGCATTTGAGCTGTCACCAGAAAACATCCGGTTTCGAATCCCGATCACTGCTGAGGGACAATCTTTATTCAAGAATTTAAGTTGTATACTCTTTAGACTTTTAATTTTAAACTGTGTATTACAGCATGTTAATCATTATACTGTACATTAAAAAGTTGGTATATTTTATGGAAGCAAGATTGCTCAGTTGGACAAAAGTACACAACCTACCACCTTTATCATAAATATTTTAATTATTCAGAAATATTTTATGCACCAAAGCCTTTACCGAAGAGTAATTACTGATAGTATTAATAATGAATGACCTTGGACAAGCTGTAAACACTGTATTACCCTGGTCCACATTGTTTGTAACCGTCTTTGTAAACAAAAATACTTTATTTTGTCAAGTAACACCACAGCATTTTGTTGATCCAATCATGCATTCGTTTCCAATCATATAAAGTCTTGAGAATCTCCGATTTACCATGCCTTTCACATGCTCATAAAAGATATGATATAAGATATAAGAAATTTAGGAACATAAACATATTACTGTATGTAAACTGTACTGTATATGGCTTCAGATGCATTATGCTCTTATTCTTTTTATGTCAGCTACTAAAATTGCCCTTTAGTGGTAAAATTCCATATAAATATTCAATACTAAGCGGATTAAAACGTGCACAGTAAAGAGATTAAATGATTAAATCTTTTCACTACCGACCAATGCACCATGGGTGTCCCTGTTGGTCATTTTGGCCAGCCAATCACGTACCACGGTATGGCGCGTAGATGCCCATGGTACGGGTTTGTACCGTGCATTTTGAATGGCTGCATCTGTACATGTGAGCTGTTACGATATTCAGTCTCTCTCAGTTTTTTAATAACATCTAATGTTATTATTATAAAAACTGTGCTTGTGGGAAAAAAGAATACTAATATTAAGGACTGCCTGTAGTGAAAAAATGTAATTAGAGTTGTGGTAAAATCAATATACACTGAGGTAAGTATCTGCCTCCTTTTTGGCTATGACTGCAGAAAAGACTGTAGCAAAGTCTGTGTTAAGAATAACCTTTTGCTGACTAAAGTAACCTTTGGGAAGTTAACTTAGTTATATATTAGTATATTACAAAATAAAAAATAAGACAAACAATTACATTTTCTTTTTTTTTCAGTAAACTATTTTGTTTATACACATTGTTTGGAAAGACCATAAAGCAATGTTTTATAATACACAGATTACTGTATATTTATTTGTTAGTTAAGATTCTCTTGGGTATTTGGTATGAAAGATCTTGAAGTAAACTAAATAGTCTAGGCTGCAGTTATAATGCAAAGTTCAATTTGTTAACATTACTACTTAGCTCTGTTTTAAAAAAAAAAGACCTACTCCTTCAGATTTCTTGTCTGGGAAGATGCAGCTCTCTCCTCCAGCTGTGAAGTTGCAGTAAACCTTAAAAGAATCTCTGGAACAGCCTTGATTGGGATCAATCCAGTATTCACCTAAGTCAAAAATAGAAACAAATACTAACGGTAAATGCGGCAGGTACTGTAATTCAAAGCAAAATAACTTACTTGTGCAACTTGTTCTGTGCAATTAAGAAATTCAGAATGAGGTGCATCACCCCAAAATTGCATTCTTTCTAAAGTGGGAAGACAACGCAATGCGGGTAATAATTTACAAAATTCCCTATTTACCCATAACCACAGGATACAGCAAGCTTTCTGAAAATGAGCTCTTCTATTTGACAATTATTCATCAAAATAAAAGAAACACAAGCACAACTCTAAAAACTATGCATGTGAAATGCCATTGTTTCATTGCTAAAGACATTTTTTTAGTTTAATGTGTTGAGAAAAACTCCCAAAGAGGTTTGAGTGCAATTACTGATATTTAAGGTAGCATACTGTATCTTAAATGCAGTACATGAATGTAGTCTCTGTGCCATTTGAATGCCCTCTGAATTACTTTGGTTATAAAAGTAATTAACAGCCCACCATCTGGGAAGTCTGGGTGGCAGAGCTGCAGATCTTTGCAAGTGCGGGCAGGGTTGTTCTGAGTGCCCAAGGGGTGCTTCATCTGTTCAATCTCTAGTTTGAGAGAGTTGAGTGAGCCAAAGATCTCCTCCATGCCATCATCGTAATCCTTGTAACTGTCAGGGTTGCCATCATCCATTAACTGGCTAGCGTCAATATCTCTCCTGCTCCTCTTGGAAGACTGGATCGGCAGTGGGTGGATGACATCGCCTGGGGGACCCTGTTTGTTGGAAAGGATTTGCCAATAGACCTCAAGTTAAAATAGAACATCTGAAGGCCAAGCCTGCATGCTTAGCCTAAACAAAACTCAACATTTGTGGTTTCAGCTAAAACAGACATACTGTAGACATCAATATTATTATGTTTGTTGTGTGCAGCTCTTTATTGCTAACTAGATAGATGGGTTTACTCTTAAAAAAGTGCTTTGTTATGTTGTTGTTTTGATAAACTCATTAAATTAAATGCCTGGATTTATTATATACTGTGCAGTCCGTAAGCATTTGGACAGTGACACAATTTTTGTTGTTTTGGCTCTGTACTCCAGCACATTGGATTTGAAATAAAACAGAATATCAGCTTTAATTTGAGGGTATTTACATCTATATTGAGTGAACCATATAGGAATTATAGCCCTTTTTTTAATTCATTGTCCTCCCATTTTAGGGGACCAAAGGTAATTGGCTGCTAATTGCTAATTTTTTGGTAATTGACAATTGGCTGCTCAGTTGTTTCTTTGCCAGCTGAGTGTTGTTGCATCATTAGCTCATGCACAATAGAGCTAACAAAAGGTCAAGAGTTGATTCTAGATGTCGCATTTGCATCTGGGGTCTGTTGCTGTTGTCTCTCAACATGAGGACCAAAGAAGTGTTAATGCATTAAACCGTGCCATCATGAGGCTGCAAATTCAGAATAAATCAATCAGAGACATAGCCAAAACATTAGGTATCTCACAATCAACTATGTGGTACATTGTTAAGAAGCAAGAACGCACTGGTGAGCTTAGCAAACGGCCTGGTAGACCATGGACGACCACAGTAGTGGATGACCAAAGAATACTTTCAATCATGAAAAAAAAACTTTTCAACTGTTGAATAGATCAGGAACACTCTCCAGGATGTAGGCATAGATGGGTCAAAGACTACCCATAAAGAGAAGAATACACCAGCATAATTTCAGAGGGTTTACCGCAAGATGCATATCCACTGGTAAGAAAGGCCACAGAAAGGCCAGGTTAAATATAAAAAAGCCTCTAGAGCTCTGGGACAAAGCCTTATGGACAGATTAACCTGTACCAGAGTGATGAGAAGGAGAAAAAATCAAACTGCTCATGATCCAAAGCATACCACCTCATCTGTGAAATATGGTGAAGGTAGTGTCAGGTTTGGGCATGTATGGCTTGTCACTTGTCTTTATTGATTATGTGACTGCAGATGGCGGCAGAAAGATGAATTCTAAAGTGTACAGAGCATCTTATCTGCTCAGATCCAACCAAATGCTTCAAACTCATTGGACGGTGCTTCACCCTGCAGCAGGACAATAACCCCAAACATACTGCTAAAGCAACTATGGAGTTTTTCAGGGCCAAAAAATTGAATATTTTTGACTGGCCAAGTCAATCACCCAACCTGAATCCCATTGAGCACGCATTTCACTTACTGAAGACAAGACTGAAAGCAAAAAGTCCCCAAAACAAGCAAAAACTGAAAATGGCTGAATTACAAGCCTGGCAGAGCATCAACAGGAAAGATACCCAATGTCTGGTGATGTCTATGGGTCACAGAATTTAGGCAGTCATCAACTGCAAAGGATTTGCAAACATGCCAATTTTTTTTAAAGTTTATGTTAATGTGTCCAATTACGCTTGGTCCCATGAAATAAACCCAAAATAGACGTAAATACCCTCAAATTAAAGCTGACATTCTGCACTTTAACCTCATAGTCATTGTTTTATTTCAAATCCAATGTGCTGGAGTACAGAGCCAAAACAGCACAAATTGTGTCACTGTCCAAATACTTATGGACTGCACTGTAGATTATACTTCTAATGGCAGCTCAGACTATTAAGTGTACAGCATGTTTGAATTATACAGGAACTTATACAGCAACTTACAGGAAGACCAGGAGGTCCAGGTACACCAGTTTCACCCTTAGGTCCAGTCTGACCCTATAGCAAATGAAACAGAATTTCAGAAATGTCAAATGTCAGAATTTAATACAGTGGCTAGAATTGAACACAAACAATGCAACTCCAGTTTCAGCCATTCAGAATGTGCAATGAATAATATAAATGAAACATATTACATTTCACCATGTATTTTTTAAAATAACCTGATGCTGGACTGCACTTCTGTGTAAAACTGCTAGGTAGCACAGTAAATGCTTAACATGGCATGTGGAAGTATTCTGGGCTCTCAAGCAAAACACCTGTGTTTGAATCACATTCAGTGCTCACCCCCTTAGGGCCAGTCTTTTTCCAATTATGTAAATGTATAAAAGTGTAAATCATATACTGTTTTGACTAAATAATGTAATGCTATATATTACAGAATGTTAAATATCAAATAAATATTAAAAATGAAAGTACTGTAGGTCTGTTTCACAGTGCAAAATGACTCACCCAGATAAATAAATCTTGTTTATTATTATAGATTGTTGTGAACATGATGTGGTTTTTCAGATATACATCTGCATTAAAATAATCTATATTTTGCCTTAATGCTAATTTCAGCAAAAAGTAATTAGGAAACAATTTTGTTTTAGATTTTGATTATAAAAATATATTTCACACATACTGTACTGTAGTGGGTTTAAAACCATATGGTATCATATTGTATATACATATATTTATACTGTATATAGGTTATTTATATGATTCATGATACTGTATGTACGCTACTGTTTCACCATATCTCTCTGTGTGGCACGTTGGGAACTATAGTTTTTGTTCTCGTATTTGATTCACATGGCCAACTTTTTAAAAGTACATTACATGCTATCACTTTACACCCACTGCGAGCTTTGAGAGAGTGTTTTAACAATTCTGTGTGTATTTTTTTTTCTCATTACAACATGTAGTCTAACAGTGTGACTTAATATGTAAGACAAACTATTCCAGGAATAAACAAAAATGCATATTCGATTTATTGTATAACCACTAACACATGCATATTTATTTCAATGTGAAAACTGAACCTGTGAGTAACCCCAACAACCACATTACTGGTACAACACACATGTATGACTCGCCGTTAGGCAATAAACAGTAGAAGCGCAATTATATTTGCCATTAAAATTTGTAAGTGAACAAGTAATAGGTTTATTCCATGCTGAAAAGAGAAGAAAGAAATTATTCATGTATTCCTTTTTTTTAATTGTATAATGTAAGCATGCACCAAAGGGGTTGGGCAGCCAGTTGGCCTTGGACCTTAGAGGTTTTTTTTCTTAGAGGTTTTTGGTTCCTCTCCTTCGTTGTCTTCTGGTCTTTTCTGTTCTGTATTCATAACCTTTATAGTCACTTGCTTTGTTAAGCGCCTTGGGGCAGCCTTGTTGTGAAAGGCGCTATACAAAAATAAATTGAATTGAAAACATACATTGTGTTTTATTTTCTTCTCCTCTTTTCAGCATGGAATTAACCAATTACTTTGCAGCCTATGCATGCTGACACAACTACCAACCTGAACTAAAAAATTGTAAGTTCCACATTTTAAGTTACAAAACAAATTGCAAAATTTGTAAGTTACAAATTTTAAAACAAATTTGAAACCCTATGTTTTAGACTCATAAGTTCACTTATTAAACTCTGAGATCCTTACTGATTTGAATTTCTACTTGTCTCATTTAGCTGGAACAAGAAAGGAAGACATTCTGCAATTCATTTTATTGGAATTTGATTTATTATAAAAACCACTGACATTGACATTAGGAGCAGGACTTGTGGGTTATACAGTTCATAGCCTCTCATTAACTTGCAAATGTGATTAACTCTATGACACTGCACCCTTTGGACCAGATACAACTCCTTTCTCAGTCTTTCTGGGGTGGAGGTTGGGACTGAAGTTATTGTCCCCCTACTTCAATTTAATACTGATTTAACTGATACATTCTCTGTACTGCTATGTACTATGTAAAGTGAATATTTAACAGATTGCTGTACTGTATATATTCATAAAAAAACAATATAGTATAAATATAAATAAAATGTCATTATTATATAATTATTTTATTTATTTATGTATACAAATATTAGATATGGTGACTTTAAAATCTTTGTATTTAAAATGCCAGATTAAAACAAAACTTGAATAGTCATTTTAATAAATTTACTGTAGCCTTACGGTAAGGTGTTTTAGTAACCAGGAGACATAGACGTTACCAAGAGGTGGTCCTGTGGGGTTTATGGGAATTGTAGTTCCAAAGATAAATTTGCATCACTGACAATTGGAAATGTGTATTGAAGACATGTGTGTGAGTGAAAATAAAAGCCTGCACACAGTTTACCTCCCCCTTTTGCTACACGCATGTGCAATTTTTTTGCTGTCACGTATTTACAACTTTTTCTAGCAGCTCAGATGAAGCCAAATTTTATAAACCACTAATATAATAGTATAGAACTGATAATATAATTATATAAACTACTAAAAAGAAAAAAGGACAACAAAAAAACATAAAATTTAAATGTTAATTTTTATAATTTAAAAATATACACAGTGTCATTAAAATTTGTATTTACACTAAATGCTGTTAACTCTATTGTGATTTCTGCTTATGGGAATCTTTAAATTATTTTGCTCTTTCTGAGCATCCTGGAGATTGCTGGTCTAAAGGTTTGGAGGTTCATTCATTTTATTATATTACTATTAATCTTATGTTAATATATAAAATCATCAGAAATGTGAATGCAATTTATATATCCGGCTAAGTTAAAAAACAACAAACCTTGGACCTTCTGAGTAGCAGGCGAGCATTCAACTACTGTACCAAAGCACCACTTGGGTACCAAATGCTATATTAACAGACTATGAGCATTTCATTGTCCACACAACTATAACAACAGCAAAATGTAGGTAAAATGAACATGTGAAAATGTTTCTAAAAGCTACCAAAATCTCTTTAGTTACAAGATTACATATAAACAATTCCTATTGGTAATAAAACAGCATTACAACTTTTTTGCAACAATAGTGACAGCAAGTCCTTAGAAAGGGTTAAAACATAGAGCTTTTTATAAAGTATATAAACTTCACATAGAATGAGCATGTCAAAACTTTTCCATAATAACCAGAGTAAGAGACTTAGTTAAAGACTTTGATGCATGTTTATGAACAAGGTGAAATACTGTAGTGTACTTTTCTATAGTTCAGGTGGGTAAATGCAACGTTTCGACTATGGAGCTCCATTGCTTAAACGTTGTGTTTTCTTTCTTCTCTTTTCAGCATGGAATAAACCTATTACTTGTTTTTTTTTTATGTATAGCTACCACTAAGTGCTTCTGTTTGAACCTTATGTGTATTATATATTTCTTAATAGAATTTAATATTGTTTATGATGTTCATAGACATTATACTGTTGTTTTTATTTTCAGCTACCAAACTTTCTCTTTAGTTGCATAATTCCATATTAACATTCCATATTAACTTAGATATTAAGTGGATTGAAAGATGCCCAGACGAGAAAGTTTAAATGAAGCCATCATTGTTCATCTTTGGCCAGTGAAACACATAACATACTGTACCACAATACCGCAAACACAGTACTAAGAACTGTTCTGAGTGGCTGCATCTATATAATGTCCAGTTCCTCTGTATTTGTAATGATGTCTTTACATATCTTAGCTGCAGAAGGAATGCATGTAATTGAACAAGATTTCTATTTTACAAAAATATATAGTATAAAAATAAACATAGCATTATTGATTTCCATTTTTTCAATTCTCAGTACTTACAGCTGAACCCTTTGTGCCCTTTGGACCAGGGGGACCCTTTGAAAAAAAAGAAGAGCGAATTCATCATCCTTTATTCTGTCATTGAGGATTCATAACTTTATAATGACCTCAGCTACTACAAAAATATTATGCAAATTGTGTCATTACTTTATACTTTATCTTTACTTTATCTTCTTCAGCTTTGATGTGGTTAATTATTTCGATTTAAACATGAAATCATCACATTAACATGTCAAAAGTTAAGTGAAGAGTGGGTCTGCTGAAAAGTAAATTAAAATGGGGTATGATAAACAATTGTGGGGAAGAATTATAAAAGAAGGTGAATGTGTGAGTAAAATAAACATCAATAAGTCAGAGTACAGGACAGGTACTATTAAAACACCTCTTTAATCAGAAATTAAACACTACTTTACAAGTGTGAATCAAGATGGATTTAGCAGTCATTTTACCGGCAATCCTGGAGGCCCAGGTGGACCTAGTGGACCAGACGGGCCAGCAATACCCTTAAATGAAAAAAAAACCAAGTCATTAAAAAATAACAACCCTTTTATAAGTAACAAAAAAATGTAAAGTACATTTTTACACTTTCAGATTGAGAACTTTATAAGGTAGTGACATTTTTGTTATGGAATAACATGCATGCATTAATCTGGCTGGTCAACTTTTTTCTTTACCAACCGTCTCTATTTAACAATTTACACACATACAGCCGACATTTACTTTATCAAAAAGGATACTTGTTACTCTCTCCCATCTCAAATAAGATCATCCCAAAAAAGGTAGCAAAAGAGGAGAAATTATGGGATACATACTGTGTCACCTTTGGGACCAGTTGCTCCCTGTGGACCCGGAAGGCCTCTGTCACCTTTCTCACCCTGCTCTCCAGGAGGACCAATCAAACCAATCAAACCAGGGTGACCCTAAAGCAAAGACAACAAAAGTAGACTTACAAAATTAGCGCTAGTTTAGCTGTGTTTTGTTTCAGAGCTGTGCTCTATTCAATAAAATCTTGTCAAAGACATTTTCAAGAAAATCAATCCTTTGGGTCATACCTTTTCTCCTTTTAGGCCAGAGTCGCCTTTTAGACCTGGCAAGCCAGGAGGTCCCTTAAAGAGATGATGAAAAGTAATTAACACACTTTCTAATGCAACATTGTATATAAGTATTATAATTTAGAGTTACATTTACGTACCATTGGTCCAGGAGGGCCATCTGGGCCAGGTGAACCTGGCAGACCCTGTTCACCCTACAAACAAAATATAATAAATTTTCCTTTCAGTAATTTTAGATCACCCTAAACCACAATGCCCATCCACCTATAAGAGGTGGCCATTGTCACAAAACATCTCAAATCTTGGATTCACTTACAACTGGACCTGGGATTCCTCTGAGGCCCTCTGGGCCAGGCTTGCCTGGCGCTCCCTGTGGACCAACAGGCCCTGTCTTGCCTTGAGGACCTTCCAAACCTGCTTCACCCTGGGGAAGAAAGACATTGAAGCATTACCTATATTCCTCTACTCCTATAGAAGACGCAGTAGTGAATGCCCATCCACTCCCCTATTAATTCAGTACAAAAGGAATACCACATAGCAATTGCACTGCAAGTTTCCTAATGCAGTTTATTTTTATTACACATTTTCTGAGCCCATTAATGTGGTAGTAGGTGGTAATGTGGTCTCCATTTTGAGCAGTACCATGTAGCCCTCACTTTGCTAGGGGAGAGGAAATATGGTATTCTACTTCAGGAAATTGAGCTAAAAAATGGGTCAAGGATAACAAAGGGGAAGGGCAAACCTTCCGGAGAATAGAGGAAGTGTAAGATGAAAAAATATGTTTTATTACCTTAGCACCTTTTTCTCCTTGCCTTCCTTCTGGACCAGAAGCACCAGGAGGACCCTAAATAGAAGAAAGAAAAGCACAGCATTTGCTTTACACTGTCCATATCTGAAGATGAGAAAAGATGCACAGAGAAGATGTGGCTAACTCACTCTCTTTCCAGGAGGACCAGAGGGTCCAGACTCTCCAGTAGGCCCAGGAGACCCCTTAGATCAAATGAAACAGCAAACAGGTAACATGAAACTACGTATTCTGAAGTTTACTGCACATTTCAAAATACAGATTAAAACTTAAAGGTATAACTTACAGGTTGGCCAGCCTCTCCATCATCTCCCTTGTCACCAGGTGGGCCATCCTGACCCTGTTTGTAAAAGAAAAAGCAGTCCTTAACACACAACTGTATGAAAATTCAATAGATGTACAATTTCTGTGGGACATTCTAACTACTGCATGATTTGTAAAGTATGTATCATACAGTATGAAGGTATCTCTATTGTTGCTATTAAAGTTTGGTTAATAATACCAACAAATTCTACAAAGACCTACAGGTTGGCCAGGCTCTCCAGGAGGACCAGGATCACCAGGGAAACCAACGGGACCCTGAAAAAAAAAAGAGACGTCAAAATATAATCAACACAGTTTTCATGCCAATCAAACGTATGGAAAATTAATAAGCACCTATTGTGTTTGAAAGTAAATCTGAGTATGAAGAGGTTGAATTCAGGGAAATATTTACATTGTCAATATAATCAAGACAACTGCTTAACCTGCTGGCAGAGGGAGACCTATAGTTAGAAAAAAGCTCAATGAAAACGTTTTGGGTGTTGATGTGCTTAATTATAAACACCAAATGTATTAAAATGAAAAACAAAGACAAACTAGTATTCCTAGTTGTAACAGTCACATAACATCAATGACAGTCATTTTATTTTTAAAGCATGTACTTTAATATCTGTACCCCTATCCTCCACCGTAAAGTAGTATTTCTGGGTATCACGTGACAGTTCAATTCCTACCAAGACTGTTGTGTTCACATTAATTAATTTAGGCAGACAATCTGTGCAATGTTTATGTCCTGTGTGCACTGGAAAATGAATGGAAAGTGACCTGTTCTATATGTACTTACAGGACTGCCCTTTGGCCCATCGTCTCCAGGAGGACCTTTTGGGCCAGGTGGTCCTGCAGAACCTGGCGGGCCAGCTTCTCCTTTCTCTCCTCTCTCACCTCTGGGACCCTAGATTATCCACATGGTTCTTCATCAGACATTAGGACATTACCATTTCATTATCTCACAACAAAATGTAAATTAATGCATGTGAGGGAAAACCAAAAGACTAAACAAACAATTAAATACATTCCAGTATAAAATATAATATATATAAATAAAAAAATTATAATGCTTAGGGTTTCATTGGTTTTCATTTCTATAATTGATTCTAGCAATTTAGTGTTAAAATATGAAGTAGGATACAATATCATGTGTTGACTTACAGGTGGGCCAACATCTCCTTGAAGACCAGGTTCTCCGGTCTCACCAGTTTCACCCTTAGTGACAAATGAACAGAAGGAAAGAAATATTTAAAACAAAAAAGCCTGCTTGAAACAGAAGAAATACTAGAAACCAGAACTAACCATTGTGTTTTTTTTCCTATGTTATGACGTA